TTTTTTTTTTTTTTTTTGACCGTACAATAATATTATTACAAGCTTTTTTGGGCATAAAACAAAATAAGTATTTTAAATGATCAAACTAAGAATTATTCAAACTAAGTAGTATAGTTATATTGAATGGGCCAAAAACAGTGTGAATGTGGCCTATGGAGACTTAAAACTAAAAAAAATATTCAACTCCGTTTGCTCTGTAAAAAATAATTTTCAGCTTTTTTTAATTTTCAAAAAGCAAATATTTTAAATTTCCCAACATATAGAGCTATTCAGCTCACCTGTTGAAAATCCCTGTCTTTTTAAATAAAATCTGTATTCACAATGTATATCTCAGGAAAAATATCACAAAATAAAATATCAAGCAAAATAAAACAGAACATCACAATGTCAGTTTTTACAATATACTGTGCAGCGCTAGTAAGTGCCTCCCACCAGTAACCTCGCGTCATGGTGCTGAGTTTTACATGTAATCATGTTTTCCTTGGACTCTGCGCATGTTGTCGGTGTAGTTGATTTGTGTGTGTGTGTGTGTGTTTCTGACAGGAGAGAGAGCGCCAACAGCTCTGGTCCCACTAAGTTTGAGGTGCAGGTGATGGCTCAGTTTGACAGTCATAACTCTCAGGTGTGGCGCGTGAGCTGGAACATCACCAGCACTCTGCTGGCCTCCTCTGGAGACGACGGCTGTGTGCGGCTCTGGAAAGGTCAGCCGTCAGCCCAGTCTGCTTCCTGCTGGGGCAACGACAAGTCGCAGTGATAGCTCTTTATCATTGCCTATTCAGATATTCTCTTTAAAGACCAACTCTTTTTTTAAATATTGTTTTTAATTAATTATTTGAATTAATTATTTTAAAATATTAAAAAATTAATTTAAACATTTGAAACCGTTTTATTTATGATGACAACTAAGACTACAGCACTGCACAGACAGGGAAAATAATATGAATTGATAATATCCCAACCTGATATGTTTCATGAAATAAATCACATTATGTAACTTGTGCTGTGAATGCCGTTTCGTCTCATCTGCAGCTAATTACATGGACAACTGGAAGTGCACAGGGATCCTGAGAGGAGACGGCAGCCCAGTGAACGGCTCTGGACATGCTGCGGCTCTGAGCGCGGTGGGCGTCCCTGGAGCCGCTCAGATGCTTGTTGGGGCCACTTCTGCTGGCAGGTATGTGACAGTGCTGTGATGTAGGGATGAGAAGTAAGGGTGCGCTCAAGCCATTTTGGAACAATTGTCTTTAAGAGTTGAATGGCACCCTCAAATTGATAATTGTGAAGCTCTGGATTTTATTTGAGCCCTAAGTTTCAGTGACAGACACTGAGGATGCATCGTCTGTAGTTGACAAAGTTTTTGAAATATGCAAAATGAAATAAAATATGATGGTATTGTACAATTATGATTGAGTTAGAATGATTCAGTTTACAGCACCTTCATAAACTGAATAAAAACATAAAACAGATCCACATTTTTTATTCATTTTGTAGTTAAATTAAAAAAAAGATTTTTTTTGTAGAGAAGGTACCTTGCTCCACAGTGATTTGAATGCAACTGATGTCGTAATCACAACTTCCCAACTCTTAAATTAACTTCTCAGGAGGATTTCAGTGCAGTATATGACCCTCAATATAGTTGTTTTTGAGGTAACACTTCAGAATAGGGAACACTATTCACTATTAACTAGTTGCTCGCTATCATGCATATTGGCTGTTTTTAGTATTTATAAAGCACATATTAATGCATGACCATAATCTAGATCACTTAAAACCTACCCAATACCTAAACATAACTACAACTACCTTATTTGCTATCAATAAGCAGCAAATTAGGAGTTTATTGAGGGAAAACTCTTTTAATAATAGTGAAAATGTGTTCCCTAATCTGAAGTGTTAGCATTTTTGCTTGAAATTCAAATACTAAACAGTTTACTTATTAAGTAACCATATGATATTGGATAGAATTTGGATAAATATGAATAGGTCTGGTATAATCTTTACATTTTTAAATAAAAATGCAAAAAAAAAAATGTATTAAAAAAATTATGTATGATTTTTTGGGGGGAACTGACAGAAGTAACAGAATTAATTATTTATTTTGTTGCATTTGTCTGCATTTGCATTTTCAGGTTTGTGGTTTATGCATAAATATGTCTTATTTTTAACAGAAAAATAGCTCAGCTGATGCCAGGCTAACAGCATAACGTGCTGATTGGCTGTTTGCTGCATGCACAGGATTGGACCGAGACCTCATTGACCCTCCCCTGCACAGTGTGACACCTGAACACTCGTCTAGCTACTAATCCGACAGAAGCGTGTGCTGACTGCACGGTCGGTTGTGTGGCTGTTAGAGGAACTGTGCCTCTGTGTGTGTGTGTGTGTGTGTGTGTGTGTTGTGTTCAGTGGTACTTACCTGACCATGAGCTTTTTTTTTGTATTATTGAACAAATTACACTAAACTTGATTCCCATCAATACTGACATACTTATTAATTGTTGTGATATGATGCAGTATTACTCATTTGAATACATTTAGGTCATTTTTCATGAGTTTCAAACATTATTGTCTGCACTTGTCAGCATTTGTATTGACCATGTTAGAAACCTGTTGTAGATGCATTTAAAGGAACAGTGCACCAAAAATCAAAATTATATCGTTTACTCGCCTTCAAGAGTTCCAGAGCTTGTTTCTTCTGTGAAGCACAAAAGGAGATGTTTTAAAACCCCTCATTTATCAAAAACCTATTTGCATTTGGAGCAACTTGAAGGTGGGTAAATTTGGCAACTTTGGTTTCTGGGTGAACTATTCCTTTAACTCCGGCTCCCAGAGAACACTCCACATATTTGTGCTGTTGTTTTGAAGCTGCTGGCATGTGTTGTGTTGTGTGGACAGTAGAGGGAGACAATGTATCTTTCAGCCCGGTTTTGCCCAAATTGCTCTGTCTCCAAATATCCCCTTGGAATAACTAACACGTTACATTTAATTCATTAGACTAACTGAATGACCAGATTACATTAACTCTTCTATGATGTAGGCACAGATTGCTTTAAGCTTTTTGCTTTGCTAAATCCTAGTAGTCAATAATGAAACATTTGATATGCCAAACAATATCTTTCTGGGTTAATGAACGATCACCAAAAGTTTGTGTCAAAATTCAGGATTTTGGTGCATGAATAATGAACCATAAATCAAAGGCTGGAACCCGATCATTGATGCCATATATATTGGGGATCTTGAGATGCTTGTTCTCCTTCATGACAGGAACTCAGCACATTCTTTATAGTGGTACCACTTGAAATGGGAATTCAAAAGGAGAAAATCTAAGCAGATTTATAAATGAATGCAACTTTTATGAGTGTATGTTTTTCTAAAATAAAGTTTGTTTTTCAGTTCTGAGTTATGCAATAAAAACCTCTCTGAGGTTTGTCTGAATTGTGTTTGTCCTCATTCAAGGAGACCTTGCAAGAGGAATGTGTTGGTCTGAAAAGACATTAAAAATAAATAAAAAATAAAACCTTATCCTTTTTGTAATGTTACCGTGAACAAAATCCTGATTCAGTCCCACTCAGCTCTTGACCCCTGTAAATTATCAAGGACAAACTAATTGTGCAAAACTTGTTACACAAATCATAGTGTAGGCTAAAACATTCAATGCTGCAGTTTTTTAATTAAAAGTTATCAAACAAGTTTTTTCTTTATTTTCTGCGTAATAAAAGTTGATCAGCCACTAAAAAACATTTATTCCCAAATTAGCAAGTCCTTATACTTACAGTCGACTTAATTAACCTAACTAAAATAGTTTTAATTCAGTTTTTTTCTTAATTTTAATGTCTAGTGGTGGAAAATAAAATCACAGAAATCTAGTTTGCAGGCTAACTACAAATTTTGGTGGATATAACACTTTAGGAAATGCCATTCCCTATTAATTAGTTGCTTATTAGCATGCATCATATTAGCATATTATCTGTTTATTAGTATGTATAAAGCACATATTAATGTCTTATTCTGCATGACCATAAGTAAAGACAATGTATGGATTGGCTCTAAGCCAGAGCGATGTTCCGTCATGAACAATGCTGTCCGACTAATTCAACAATAATTGAGCAATTTGATAAAGCACGTATTGTCATTCATTTCAACACTATGCTTGCTTAGTCCTGTCACCTCACAGCAATGTGTTTCCATAATACAAAGACATGCTCATTTGACAAATTGAGGATTCTACATTGTTCATATTTGGTATATATTGCATGCTGGGATACATTCCAGTACTTTCAGACCCTTTTCTACATGTTCTGCTTTTTCTATTCAACTGTCTCTCTCACACACTCCAAATAAATGCACATTCTGATCAGATAGCATATGACCAATATTTTAAGATGGTTGTATGCCATATAAGTGTGTTTGTTAAAGTTGATTGGGGGGATTTTGAGCTTGTAAAAAATATGTGTGCTTTTCTCATCTCTGTTCACAATATCCTTTGTAAAGCAGTTCGGATCTGGTGTGTGGGCAGAGGCCTGAAAGTTTCAACCTGGAGAGCAGTGCAGCTTTGTACTCTTTAAAAGCAGATAGGCATTGTTTGACGTAATGAAAGCAGTTTGCGGTATTTGTGTTCAGAATGGCAGTGTGTAAAATTACACCTAAATATAAAACTAATAAGATTTACTTTAAAATTACAAAGAAGAATATTAAATTGTTAGTTAGACATAAACCTTTAATACAATGAGCTACATATGTAATTACAGATTATTTTTTGTTATTTTACGTAAATTTGTACGTAATTTAAGAAAACAGAAAAAAACACTGTATAAATAATACAGTAATTTTCCTGTATAAAAAAAACGAGAATTACTATAATTTGTCATTAATGGAATAATACTTGAAACAACAGTCAAGTTGTTAATTTACAGATATTGTTTGTAAATTTACAGAGTTTTGGATATCATTTAAAATAACAAAACTACTGTAAAAATTTTAGTGTAAATTTCCGTAAAAATAGGACTTTTTTTTTATTTATTTTTTTTACAGTGCTTTCTAGATGCCTTAATCTGACCCAATACCAAAACTACTAACAACTATTTTACTAACTATCAAAGCAGCAAATTAGGAGTTTATACTGAGGGAAAACTCTTAGTTAATAGTGAATATGTGTTCCCTAATCTAAAGTGTTACCAAATTATGTCCCACATTTTGGTTAATGAAATTATAAAAATTCTAGAAAATTACTAAATCAATTATTCAATCAATCATATAAATTTCAGTTTGAGCTCCCCCTAAGGTTGATAATCAAAAAAATTTCTTTCAAAAAGTTTCTTCGTTTAAAGTTTCTTTAAATTCTCTTGCCTTCTTTTTCTTTAAAAAATAAGGACCTCCTTATTTAGGTCCTACCCTATAGGCTTCTATTGTAAACGCATGACTATAAACATGATAGTAGTTTTTACAAACTGAAGTAGGAGTTGAAATGATCTTTTGTGGTACCTGACATCATGCCACACATGCTGTTGCCATCGGCGGAGGGTGAACCAACTCCAGGGTAAGGCTAAAAGCAGCCAAATGTATTAAACATCATAAACCCCTCTTTTTAGGCAAGAACCAGACATGGGTGTCATGTAGGCTAAAAAAAATGTTTAATGGGACTGAATTTGTATTTAACGTG